TCCGAACGTTTTTTTTTTTTGCCCCGGAAACCGAACGAAATTCGGAGGTCGAACGGGGCAATCGCGACTTGAAAGAACCTGTACACGACTGAGACACGTGGTGTCCAGCAGCGTGCATGACGCTTGCCCAGACAAAGGGGACTCCCCTTCCAAACAATGACACCACCACCTCCTCCTCCTCACCACCTTCCACTCAAGCCATCAACTCTCCTTATTACAGGTAAAGTGAAGTTCAATATTCATTTATTTCATTTATTCCATATTTATTCTTTTATTCCATTTATTTATTGTGTTACTTGTTTTTTTGCATGATTTTATACGTGTAATTACTGTAAACTTCGTGTAAAAATGCTTTATAATGACAGATTTCTTTGTGTCTGGAGCCAATTAATGTCATTTACATTAATTCTTATGGGGAAAATTAATTCGGTGTTAGAACTAATCGGTGTTCGAATGGCCTTCTGGAACTAATTAAGTTCGATCTCCGGGGTACCACTGTACATTTATAATCAGAGCGTGTTTGCATGTTTTGCCACAAGTAAGTATGGTCAATGCAGTCTTGAGGCCTTGCAGAAAGGTTTCAATGCGGAGCTTGAACATCTTCACACCTAAATTTTAATTTAAAGCTTTCGTGACTGCAGGGATTCATATTCTTGGTTCTTTCAGTAAAGTCACGTGACTCTACCGAAAGAACCAAGAGTATGAACATCTTCACCTGTTTTATTGCCAGAAAAGGGGAAAAACCTTGAACTTCAGAAACTGCTTGATTGGTCGTGCATATATTTGGGCCGCTTACCTTTCTGTAATTGTCTTCATGGTGTGCACTTACTAACTAGCCTCCGTTGCACAAATTCCATCTTTGATCCATAATAGAGGTTTTTTTGGGTTAGATCACGTCAATGTAAATGTGTCGTTAAACCAGCCACCACCCGACACGGCCAATTGGTAAGGTTTGTCACGTAAACAAAATATACATGCCAAATTGTGGGCTTACTCTCCAACACGCCAGTGTGCTGTACTAGTAATGAATATGCATGTTTTGTTTACGTGACAAACCTTACTAATTGGCTGTGTCGGGTGGTGACGGGTTTAACGACACACATTTACGCGATCTCACCCAAAAAGCCTGCAGGGTGTATATTGGTCGCGAGAGCCTACGTGTTTAAACTCCCTGTTTGATGTAACCTTGTAATTATTGTACGGCATAGTTGAGATGCAGTGCTATGAATGATCCTCTATAAAATGTCATCATAATGCTTATACTCATCATCATCGTTATATATCTGTCCCTACTTCCCGTCAACCACATGGCCCTTTAGTGAGTGCATCATTTCATCAGCAATGGTTCAACGAAAGCAAAATCCGAAACCTGCCTCGGCACACGGCGGCTCATCAGCAGTGTCGGGCTTTGTTTGAACCAATGCTGATGAGCTGCCCCAGGGTGTTATTGGTAAGGACCCTCTCGCTAAGACGTGGGCCGCTTGCGCAACGCAATCCAATTTATAATACGCATCACGGCCAATATCATCCATAATATATATTTTTTGGGTTAGATCGCGTAAATGTATAAATGTATATTCTTAGTTTTTTCGGTAAAGTCACGTTGAAGGGAAACAACAAAATAATAAAATATATATAAAACAATAAAACATTCTCACGACGTTTCGACCATAACTCAAACGGTCGTCTTCAGGTGTGTTGGTTTGCATAAATGTATTTTTAAACGGCGCATTTATTTATTTATAAAAACGTTAGCGCCACGCGCAACGATTTGGCAGTTTATTTAGGACTAGTCCATCTATATTCTGAAAAGAGGAGGGGGGAGACGAATTTTTTTTATAATGTATCCTGTCTGAAAGCCACTGTAAGCGTGAACAATCAATTAAGACCTGAAATGGTTTATCAAATCTTTCCAATGATTGCTAAGATAGAATCCATCTTCTCGGTTGAAATTGTCTCTGTGCTTGTATATGTGGATAGCCTCATGAACGAATCTCTCATGGAAGCCAGATGGCTTACAAAGAACCTCTGTCTTGTAAAAGTCAATGGCATGTGAGCCTACTGAATTAGAACAATGATCTGCCACGGCCGAGGTGTTGGTCCTACCGTGTTTAAGGTCTGCTTTGTGTTCACGAATGCGGTCCGAGACATGGCGTTTGGTTTCTCCAATGTAACTACTACCACAGAGGCAACTTAGTTTGTAGACACCAGGGTATTGTATGTCCGGAATCACATCTTTTACAGACATGTAATGTGTTACATAAAATCCGTGATCTGGTTCCGTCTGTAAAAGATGTGATTCCGGACATACAATACCCTGGTGTCTACAAACTAAGTTGCCTCTGTGGTAGTAGTTACATTGGAGAAACCAAACGCCATGTCTCGGACCGCATTCGTGAACACAAAGCAGACCTTAAACACGGTAGGACCAACACCTCGGCCGTGGCAGATCATTGTTCTAATTCAGTAGGCTCACATGCCATTGACTTTTACAAGACAGAGGTTCTTTGTAAGCCATCTGGCTTTCATGAGAGATTCGTTCATGTGGCTATCCACATATACAAGCACAGAGACAATTTCAACCGAGAAGATGGATTCTATCTTAGCAATCATTGGAAAGATTTGATAAACCATTTCAGGTCTTAATTGATTGTTCACGCTTACAGTGGCTTTCAGACAGGATACATTATAAAAAATTTCGTCTCCCCCCTCCTCTTTTCAGAATATAGATGGACTAGTCCTAAATAAATTGCCAAATCGTTGCGCGTGGCGCTAACGTTTTTATAAATAAATAAATGCGCCGTTTAAAAATACATTTATGCAAACCAACACACCTGAAGACGACCGTTTGAGTTATGGTCGAAACGTCGTGAGAATGTTTTTATTGTTTTATATATATTTTATTATTTTGTTGTTTCCCTTCAACGTGACTTTACCGAAAAAACTAAGAATATGAATTACTGCAGTCACGAAAGCTTTAAATCAAAATGTATAAATGTGTCGTTAAACCCGCCACCACCCGACAGCCAATCGGTAAGGGTTGTCACGTAAACGGAACATGCCAAGCCACAACATTTACAATCATTATCGTTCACGTCCTTATGGAGAATCTAGGTAACAACATTCACAAGCGAACACTAACCGTGTGTGCTGCGTGCACGCACGTATTTATGCATGCACGGTGTGATGATTGCTTGTGTTGCAGTCGAAACGTCGTGAGAATTTTATTGTTTTATATTTGTATTTTATTGTTTCCCTTCTACGTGGTGACTTTACCGAAAGAACCAAGAATATAGTACGGTATGTTGAACTTCTTTTGCTCCGGATGTAGCCAACCGTGCTAATCGGAGCTACTTTGTGTACAGTATATACTGCGTGTATGCACGCACTATGTGTACTTGTGTATATGTGCTGTGTACCACGTAGTGTAGCGGCCAACACCGGTGACGTTTATCTGAATCGGTCCTGGGCCTCCTCTAGGTCGACTCAGCCTCAAATGAGTACCTGGTGTGATGTGTGAACATCGCCACTGGGGAGACGAAGGCGGTCGGGCGTGGTGCTGGCCACTCACCCCCTCGTGTGCCGTGCCGGCCTTCATAGGTGCTCGGTAACAGCACTTGCCCCAACAGTCTGTTAAGGCTATACGGGGGATCTTTGTTTTTGTGTATCTGTACTGCGTGTACTATGTTAACTGTACTGTGTGTGCGTGCTGTGTATCTGTACTTTGTACTGTGGATGTGATTGTGTATGCTTTTGCGACGCAATGTTCTGATTTTCACATTGGATTATTTTCGAGTCGGAGCTCGTAGGTAAAATGTGTGTGCCGTAAATCCCTCCTCCACCCGACACAACCACTTGATGAAGTTGTCACGTTATTGAACAAGCGCAGCCAATGTAATTACCGATTCGGCAGCATGTTTGATGTTCACGTGACAACTTCGTTAATTCGTTGTGTCGGGTGGAGGGATTACGACACGAAACATTTTTTTAAATTCGTGCCCGGTGTCGCCCGAGGCCCCGTGCAATGTTTTATTCGTACGTGGTGGTGGTGGTGGTGTTGGGGGCGTCAGTCTCGCAAGTTGCATCTCTCTCAACGCGGCGTGGATTTGTAACGCGCGAAGATTTTCGCACACGGAGGCACCGGGAGCCACTGAAGGCAGCCGGCACTGGGACCAACAGTTGCCCAAGCTCCGTGATTCTACGTTGGGACGTTTTTGTTGCCCCGTGCCCGTGTAATCCAGCACTGCGGAGGGGGGACAGCGCGAGGGTTGGTGTATCGCGCACACATGTTTAGCGGCGCGCCCTTCCTGCGAGTGGTTGAGGAGTTGACATGCCCTTGCTCGCCAGGAAATGGCGGTACAGCAAGTGGATTAATCTCCGCCCATTTACATCTGCGCGGAGATTGAGCGTTGCCCCCACCACCACCACCACCACCCCTCTCACCCGTGGATTTTCTACGGCTATTCCCATGAACACTCGGTAACCGAGTTGGTCAAACTTCCCCAAAACAGGGCCCGATGCTGGAGCCAGTTCCTGCTAGTTTTTGTTTTGTTTTGGCCATGTTTTTGTTTATTGTAGTACGGAGTTAGACTGATGGCCTTAATCTTAGTTGTCTTGTGGTTGTTGTTGTTATTTGACTTGCATCCCACTGGGATTTTTGCACACAGCGTTGGTGTACGGTGCTATTTCAGGAATATTTTGATATTTTTTTTCCTGTATTTTCTGTTTGCACAGTCACATAATCACTTTAAGATGTTTTCTTGTTCATGTTTTTTGTTTGTTGCGGTTGCACCCGATTCAAGAGCCGAATGGCTCACAGGGCTATACCAAATAAATGAACTAATAAATGAACTATGCTACCTTTTTTTAGCCTTAGTTTTATCGGCCGGTTGCCCGCGCCTCCCGAATCGTCCCCAAAATCTGTGCACGGCGCGCACGTAACTTGAACTCTCGTTACCCGGCCGTCTCTGCAGTGCGTGTGCTGCGCATGGGTAACTCACGTGGGGAGCCCTGCAGGTACTTGCTCTTTACGAGCCCGATGCTGACCACCTTCCCGTGGAAGGCGGCGTCCGAGTCGTCCTCCTTCGCCGCCGACGCCACCTTCTTCCCCCTCATTCGCTGGACGAAGCCCAGGAGCTTGTTGGCCATGGCCAGCTAGGGGGAACGCACTCCCCGCGGTGCAACGCGAAGCCGCGCTCGTGCGTGCCGTGTCTGCCTTGCGTGTGCTCTTGGTCGGTGCTGTGTTGTTGCCGTTGTTTGCCGTCGTCAGCCTTCAACTGTCAATTCTTTCCTTTCCTCGGTGGTTGCGCTTGTCCAGTTAAGAGGCAAAGGCGCAGCCCTGCGATTGCTCGCTCGCGCCGCTGCCCGGCGGGAAGGGTCTCCGCTCGAGGGAGGGTTTCCACACTCTCGAGAGAGTGTTGCTTTGGCCTACTCGTCCACTCTCTTCTTGTCCAGAAGCGTCATCCGAATGCGCCGGCGGACATGGAGACCACTTTGCCGCTCCACCTCTCGAACCGCGCGTGTCGCTTCGATGGAGCCGCTTTACCGACAGGAGACCGGAGCGCGGGCTGCCGTGGTGTCGAGGGAGGGTCGCCGATTGGCGCCGTAGCTGCTGTTCGAGGGCGGTGGGCGGGGTGTGGGGGGGGGCAAGGAGGGCCCGTCACTCACGCCCGCGGGACGGACTCGGCGGTGGCCGGAGATGTGTTCCAGACCAGGGCGGCAAACGGCCGACGGGAATGTGGCGTTGGCGCTCGCTTGATGGGCACGTGGCACCCGTCTGCTCGAGATAGCGTGGAAGTATTGGGCCCGTTTTTAGTTGAGGATTCGCACGGGGTGCAGGGCGGCGTTCAGAGGTGCGTGAAGTCTCGCTGTGGGCGGCGGTGTAGCGGGAGCGTGGCTTCGGGTTTGCATTTATTGGGTGCTCACAAACGGTTGACATGAGCCCTGGTGCAACTAATGAAATGGGAGGGGTGGGGAGGGTGGGGGGGTGGGGAGGGTGGTGGGGGCCCCTCCCCCTCTTCATAGCCTGGCACTTGGGGCCCCTCTGGCCCATGGGCCCCAGTACACACTCAATGGATACCCACCCTCGGTGTAAGTTGATGAATCTAAGTGAGAGTCTACGGATCTGTGTAGGGTTACGGGCTTTGGTTGGTGCTTGTACATTACTGTACTACCAACACGGGCCCATTGGTTAGCCACGGTTTGGCTACGTACAATTTCGAAAGAAGTTCAACGAACGTGCATGGTAGAGGTCTTGTTGGGGTGATGCGCACGTGCTCGGGGTCACACGGGTCTCCCCGCGTACCCACAAGCCTCTGCTCTCGCTTGATATCGGCTGACGGCGTATGCCTCCCGTCCGTGCGGACGCCCAGGCCCGGCACCGGCGGCGGAGGAGGAGGAGGAGGCGGCGACGCGCTCCGTGCATGAGCTTCTCCGTGCGCTTCCCGCGGGCCCCGCCGTGGGTCCTCGCCGATGCCACCGTGTCGCTGAGGGCCCCTTCGGAGTACGGGGCCACGGGCACCGTAGAGATCGTCGCCAACGCTCGGACCGAGGTTGGCCAGGTGAGCGAGGGTAGCCGTGCTCGTTGGGGGCACCTGTCACTGCTGTTGTCTACACGGTTGTCATTTGCATCGTTATCATTTTCGAAGCTGGCATTTGCCGTGAGCGGGAATCGAACTCGTCTGTCACGTAGTGTGCTAAAACCGCTGCAGGCCACAACATTCATCTGCCAATGACGTCGCGAGATCTTAAAACGCCCGATGCGAAGCAAGACGGCACCATTGCGCGTTGGTCAACACAACCGCAGTATTAACCAGGGCGCCCACCGGGTTCGAAGCGCAAACCAAGTGCCGAACGCGCTATCGTTTGGCTGTGGCAAGCGATTGACAGCATTTATGTCTGGTGTTTCACACTGCAAAGGCACAAAGGTCGCCCCATGTAGCCTTAAGAGACTTCTGGGGCAAGCGCTGTTAGCGAGCACCTAATGAAGGCTGGCACGGTACACGAGGGTGGTCAGCTCCTCCGTGCTGATGTTTACACTTCCAAGTACCCACTTGAGGCCGAGCAGTTAAATATTCGTCACTGTTGTTGGTCGCTGGGTTCGTAGCGCAGCGCGCTAGCCACAAAGCTAACCGCCCCCCAATGAATCAATACCACTTTTGCCACCATAAAATCTAATCCATAAAATTATCACCACCATCATCGCAATCAACTCGCTGCACTTGAGAACCCGGCTTAATCATAACTCTTGTCATCATGATGCGAGTCTACGAGTCTCTCTGTGAGCCTGTGATTATTCACGTAAATCTGTGGGTGCCTATGCAAGTCATTCACTTGGCTGAGACCATCAACTCTCTTCACTCGTGAACCCGGTTTAATTGAGGGCAGCGGACGCCTGGATTCGAACTCAGCTCTCAGCACTCTGACCTCTGAGCCACTCGCTCATCTCATTGACAAGCTGGCTTCGGTGTCATCGAGCGTACCTCCTTGAAAGTTCCCCGCGACTGGAGTTTGTTATTCACTTTTCCCTCTACCTCTCCTTGTCGGGAGGGAGAGTGGCTTGCTGAAGGAGTGAAGGCGGCTGTGGTCGTAAAGGCAAGAACGGCTTCGCGCGGGAGCTCTTATCGAGTTGGTGGGATTCCAATTCCATACTCGGTCACGGATATTCCCACCGTGCCCCAATTAGATTCCTGCCGACTGCCAGGCGCCCGTCAGTTCCCCCGCCCTGTTTAAGGCACTCGGTTGCCTCCGGTCGGGTCGCACAACGGTGCCCGGTCTCCTTGTGTACATTTAAATAGTAGCGCCTTAACACGAGGCGCTTTTTCAACACAATTATACGATTTTGTGCATAAGGTGATGGTGGATGAAATAGAGTGGTGATGTAGTTACGGTGACAGTTGCGAGAAGAGGGTGGGGGTGGTTAAGGTAGGGGTAGTGGTAGGGGTAGTGGTAGGGGTAGTGATAGGGGCTGGGGTAGTGATAGTGGTAGGGGTAGTGATAGGGGCTGGGGTAGTGATAGTGGTAGGGGTAGTGATAGGGGCTGGGGTAGTGATAGGGGTTGTGATAGGGGTTGGCCTTGTCGTAGCTGGTGAGTTGTGGGGATAGGGAGTAGCAGTAACAGGGACAGTGATGGGGGTATGGGTAGTGATGGGGCTAGGGATAGTGATGGAGGTATGGGTAGTGATGGGGCTAGGGATAGTGATGGGGGTATGGGTAGTGATGGGGCTAGGGATAGTGATGGGGGTATGGGTAGTGATGGGGCTAGGGACAGTGATGGTGGTATGGGTAGTGATGGGGCTAGGGATAGTGATGGGGGTATGGGTAGTGATGGGGCTAGGGATAGTGATGGGGGTATGGGTAGTGATGGGGGTATGGGTAGTGATGGGGCTAGGGATAGTGATGGGGGTATGGGTAGTGATGAGGCTAGGGACAGTGATGGGGGTATGGGTAGTGATGAGGCTAGGGATAGTGATGGGGGTGGCGGTGGTGAATAGGTGTTGAGGTAGGCCTGGTCGTAGCTGGCGGGTTGGGGGTAGGGAGTACCAGCAGCAGGGTGGGCTTAAGGAGAAGAGAACTTTAAGGGAGGGATGGAAGCGGGAACCCATTGGGGTCACGGCACTTAATATCGCAAACTTCCGTCTCTGAGAATTATAAATATGATCGGTTTGACTGATGTGACGAACGGCACTTTCCCTAACAGTGCGGGCGGGCGAGTGCTTGACACCCTCCACCCCACCCACCGTGTGGGCCAGGGCTCACTCGCAGACATCTCAAGAGGCAGCTCTGAGCGACCTCTGCTTCCGCGAGCCATTCTCTGCCCAACACGAAAGATTGCGCTGCACCTTCGTCCCGTGAGACAACCGGCCGATAGCCAACAATCGAGGTGACAGCGTGGAAGAATGCAAATTAAAACAACAAAAACATCTTGAACGTGGTAACACTGGCGGTTGTCCCTCTGTCTCCCGCGTGTCCCCCATACCCGGGGAGGAGCGGTAGTGTAATAGCCGTTAGCGCTACGCTGCACTACGAACCTGGCAATGCGAGTCCGATTCCCGCTGACGGTCGACACCCGTGACGATTTTCTGAACCGGTCCTGGGCCTCCCCTAGGTCTACTCGTCCCCAAATGAGTACCTGGTGTCCCACATACCCGGGGAGGAGCGGTAGTGTAATAGCGGTTAGCGCTACGCTGCACTACGAACCTGGCAATGCGAGTCCGATTCCCGCTGATGGTCGACACCAGTGACGATTATCTGAACCGGTCCTGGGCCTCCCCTAGGTCTACTCGGCCCCAAATGAGTACCTGGTGTCCCCCATACCCGGGGAGGAGCGGTAGTGTAATAGCCGTTAGCGCTACGCTGCACTACGAACCTGGCAATGCGAGTCCGATTCCCGCTGACGGTCGACACCAGTGACGATGATCTGAACCGGTCCTGGGCCTCCCCTAGGTCTACTCGGCCCCAAATGAGTACCTGGTGTCCCCCATGCCCGGGGAGGAGCGGTAGTGTAATAGCCGTTAGCGCTACGCTGCACTACGAACCTGGCAGTGCGAGTCCGATTCCCGCTGACGGTCGACACCCGTGACGATTTTCTGAACCGGTCCTGGGCCTCCCCTAGGTCTACTCGTCCCCAAATGAGTACCTGGTGTCCCACATACCCGGGGAGGAGCGGTAGTGTAATAGCGGTTAGCGCTACGCTGCACTACGAACCTGGCAATGCGAGTCCGATTCCCGCTGACGGTCGACACCAGTGACGATTATCTGAACCGGTCCTGGGCCTCCCCTAGGTCTACTCGGCCCCAAATGAGTACCTGGTGTCCCCCATACCCGGGGAGGAGCGGTAGTGTAATAGCGGTTAGCGCTACGCTGCACTACGAGCCTGGCAATGCGAGTCCGATTCCCGCTGACGGTCGACACCCGTGACGATTATCTGAACCGGTCCTGGGCCTCCCCTAGGTCTACTCGGCCCCCAAATGAGTACCTGGTACGGTGCGGAAACATCGCCACTGGGGAGACAAAGGCGGCCGGGCGTGGTGCTGGCCACCCGCCCCGTTATGCGCCGTGCCGGCCTTCACAGGTGCTCGCTAACAGCACTTGCCCCAACAGTCTGTTGAGGCTATACGGGGGGGATCTTTGTGTGTTACTGGTTTGGACTCCCCTGTTTAACCCCCCCCCACCCACCGACCGTTTCCTAGGGGTTCCACGTCTCTGAGCCCAAGCCGATGGTGAGCTCTTTGGCCACGCACGGCAACCCGGACCTGGCGAGGCCCGTGGCCATCAAGCTGTCATGGCCCCACCCCCATTGCGACGACCGGCACGGCGAGCTCCTCACGTCCGGCGCCAGGCCGGTCGCCTCTCCGCGGCAGTCGACGCGCTCCAAAGCTCAAGGTCAGAGTTGTCTCCCTGCTCGTCAAATGATGGCACCGCTTTGTTGAGCTTTCATTCCGTGGCCAGGTCGCTTTTGAAAAAACAAGTTAATATCTGAGGTTGGCTTCGTCTGGTGAGGATGGGGATGGTTTAGTTTGTATTGTGTATTTTGTTGATTTCTCTGCCTCTCTTGTACTTTGCACTGCTGTCGTGGTATTGTACTGTTTGTTGTAATGTTCTTACCCGCCCCGACTGGACATTTGTGAAAAAAGAGCTTTATAAGAATAGGGTTTACCCTTTACGGCAATAAAACAGTTGTAGATTAAAAAAAGGATACCTTTTGCAAGGAATCAAGTATGCATTAACCACACGTACTTGTGGTGAACATGCAAACAAACTCTGCTAATATAATTATATCTTGCATTGCCTTTAAAACTGATTAGCCTACACCGGAGATGGGCCTTCTTTATGTCCTAGTCTCACCACCAGTGTCAGACGAGAGAACAACGCCAAAAGGTGAACGGTACAAAGACAATGCAAGTATCAGAGCTTTTATAGCTCGGGGTGAGAAGCTATATCATGGGATACCTTTTGATACTGACAAAAAGGTCCCATGATAAAGAGCTTTATAGCTCATCGGATTCCTTCAGGATAAATGAATATTCTAATTCTCCGCCCTCGGGCCCTTGAGCCAGTGGCGGTGGAGTTTTCGCGTTGGTATCGATGAGGTCAGAGGTCAATCGATCCAAATGGGCTGGTGGGGGGGGGGGGCGGACGAGTGGTAGCGAAGCGCGGTCAATGTGGGCGGGCAGCCAGGTCGGAATCGTAATCTTTCTTTATCTGGGAGAAATCCGATGACCTGCAAAGCTTTTTTTCTCACAGATATCCGGTAGGGGGAACAGGGTCACACAGATACAACGATAAAGCAATGATCGGGAGTGCAGAGTATAGGTAGGAAAGCAAATCGCAAAAAAATGTAACACGTAAAACAGATAGTATACACTGTTAAGTTGAAATTGCATAAGTGCACCAATTTTTTTAAAGAAAGATTTACAATTTTAAGGGAGGAAACCAGATTGTTTCAAAACGTTTGTGCTCCAACAGCAAAGGCTTTGTAACATATTCCTATTCATGTTCTTGGGATAGATAGATAGGTTTTCTTGGGTTTGATAATGGGGTTAATGGGGTTAATGAACTAGTTTAAGTATAGCGGACATTCGCCAACAAGGGATTTATGTACACAACCACGTGACTTGAACCCAAGTAGTCAAAGCAGTGAGCCGTCGCCGCTCGAATCCTGAGTTCGCGCCCCACGTGTAAGCCCCGCCGAGGTTAAACATCCGGATCCTCGAGGCTATTCCTCTGCTCCGCTGCCTACGTCCGTTTCCGTACGGCATCTCGGGACGCGGTGGCATTTCCGCCGTACAAATGAGCGCGCCACGGTCCGGCGCGGCGGTGGCGCCGCCGAGTGGCTGAGCCTGTCGGTGCTGATCGGCCCGCAGCCGGAGCCCGCGCCCGCTGGCCGGCCCGTCCCCGTGTGGATTGCCGGTGCCCGGCCGCACGCTGGCGCCGATCCGCAGCAGGATCCCGGCGCTCGCCGGGCTCCCTCTCCTCTTCTTGCTCCTCCTCCGCCTCCGGCCGCGGCGATTGGGGGTGAGGATGAGAGCTCCTAGGGGTGGGCAGGCGGGGGGGCAGGTGGGTGGGCAGGCGGGGGGGCAGGTGAGGGGGCAGGCAGAGCCAGCGGGAACTGAGCAAGCGCCGGGCACTGCGGTGTACAATTTAGTTCGATTGGTTGTGTAGCTTACGGTGTTCACCAACAGAGCCAAGAGGAGGCAACTGGGTGGCTCTGAGCGCTGAGCCAGCTCCGCTGAGAGCCTGGGTTCGAATCCGGTTTCTCAAGTGTGGCGAAGTTGATGGTGTCAATCCAGTCCTCCGTGACTTGCACCGAGGCCCAGAGTCGTCCACAGAGCCCCAGAGACTTACATAGCAACCCGTAGATTCGACATCCGCCGAGATCCCAGCCCTGTAATGTGTATGTTTATACCGTTAGTACTGTGTATATCGTGTGTCTGTACTGTGACTGCACCGTATCCGTACAACCTTGGGGTTCCGCGATGCCGCCGTGATTGTCCGTCCACTTTTCCCAATTTTATTTTTGATAAAAAAAATATATATGTTCCCCGTGGCCGCCGCGCCTTCCCCCGGCAGAACCAAACGAGGCGACGGCGGCCGGGCTGTCCAGAGCCGCCACCTCGGGGTCATGCCACGGTGAGGCCCGGCTCGGGCTCCAGCCTCCTGCGGTGCCGACAACCGTTTTCCAGGCGGCCGACCCACGGAGGGCGAGGGGCGCATCGGCGTCGGACTCGAGCCGTGACCGCGAGACGCCGCCGCCGCTGCTGCTGATGCCGCATCAGCTGACGGTGGAGCTGCCGATGCCGCCCTTCGTCGAGTTCTCTTCTTCTTCCTGCTCCTCGTGGTCGACCGTTGGGGGTTTATGTCGTCTGCCGCGACGGCCGTCGGCGCTGGGTGGCGGCACGGGGGACACGAGCCGGGACACGAGCCGGGACACGAGCCGGGACACGAGCCGGGACACGAGCCGGGACACGAGCCGGGACACGAGCCGGGACACGAGCCGGGACACGAGCCGGGACACGAGCCGGGACACGAGCCGGGACACGAGCCGGGACACGAGCCGGGACACGAGCCGGGAGGAGGTAAACCGATGGGCAGCGAGCGACTCTCTTTCCTCGTTGGCTGACGGCCATCCCCGGCCCAACGAGCGGCCTACGGCGACTCGACGGGCCGCCACCATTCAGGTTTTTTGGCGATGCCGACAATGATCCCGGTGCGGCTGCCACGGCTGCCGTCCATAACGTTTACGGCTCCGTTGTGGCCGATTTTGACGCTCTTGTCAATGCCAATGATGCGTTAACGCTAACGATGCTCTTTGCTGGCGCTGCTGACGACCATAATACTTTTGCTGTGGACGATAACGATGGTGCAGATGATAATGACGACGCTCTTGACGGTGCTGGCACCCATGGTAACGATGGCGATTATCACTCTTGCTTCGGACGCCAACGATGGTGGTGGTAATGACGACGTTGCTCTCACTGCCGACGCTCACGACGACGCCATCGACTGTACTTTGCCGCAGCTGCGCTCCGCCGTGCCTTGCGAGCCGAGGCCGGTGACCCCGCCGACCCTCCTCACGCCGTGGGATTTTGAGCTGGGCCCACGCGCGCCCACTCGACTTGTCATCCCGCCGACCCCGCCGCCGCAGCCGTCTGTGCTGACTCAATCCCAGCTGCAGGACACGCTGCTCTACCTGCTGCAGGTGCGTGGCACCCCTCCGATTCTACTCCGCTCCCCTCCCCTCTCCTCCCCACCACTCCGCTTTCTCGCCATTACACACACAATCTGTCAGCCGAACTTCCCGTACACGCGGTCATAGCTTCGATCGTTTCACAGCCGTGAACTTTTTTTAACACTGTATACGACACCCTGCAGCCAGACACTTAAAAAAAAGAAATTCTGCAATCTCCTTATTTTATTTTTGGTTAAGTAAGAAACCTTAAGTCGGTTGGTAACACTCGTGACTCCAACAGCAAGAAGGGCCTGGATTAGATTCACGACTCGGGCACCTCTCTGTGTGGCGTTTGTAATAGGGGGAGTCCCCTGTTGTGCGTGGGGTTTGGCGAAACGTGCACAATGTTGCAACAAAAAAAAAACGCGAATCGCTCGGCTGGGATTTCCACGTGGCGGTGACAACATCGCTCCCCTCGCTGAGAAACCTTGGCAGGACCCTCCCTGAAGAAAGAATCTTGAGACTCGGCGAGGCTTCCCTGGGTAAAATCTGCGAAATAGAATGAACGGGGCGGGGAGGAGGGGGGCATGACCCTGGGGTCCTCGCACTCTTTTAATTTTTTTTATAGATGTTGCCAACAGATGGCAGCAGACACCGTAGGCGTGCGTGTGCGTTGGCCTTCGATGGGGAGCGACAGTGCAGCGGCGGTTAGGCCACCCGGCCTCGATTCCTGCTCACGGTCAACACCAGTGACGATTATCTGAACCGGTCCTGGGCCTCCCCTAGGTCGACTCGGCCTCAAATGGGCACCTGCTGCAGTGTGTAAACATCCACTACTAGGCAGACAAAGGCGGCCGGGCGTGGTGCTGGCCACCCACCAACCGTTGTGCCGTGCCGGCCTTCGTAGGTGTTCTGTAACAGCACTTGCCCCAACAGTCAGTGAAGGTTACACAGCCCGATGAGACCTCACCAGTGTTGAGGGCCGCCACACATTTTAAAACATTGGGGTTTGACAGCAGCACGATGATGGGTGGCGGTGTTTTCACCATTTGTGTGTTGTCGGGGGCCGCACTAAAGGCCTCCAGGGCCAGCCAGTGGCCCGCGGGGGGGGGGGGGGGGGGGCCTTGCAATGAAGAACGCTGCGGTAGAGATGACGTGCGCTAACGCTGTGTTGCAGAACGACGACGAATTTGTGGACAGAATCCACCGCGCTTACCTGCACCGCTCCTCTGGCGCCGCGTCGCGAGACGCCCACCCCCAGTGCCTTCCGCGTTGAGCGGCACCCTAGAGGCTCCACACCCACGGCGACGCAAAATCAACCCGGAGGTGGTGGTCGTGACGGCTCCAGCGTTACGCAACGCCGAACCGTGCGGCCTTACCACCACCACCGCCAGCAGCGGCAGCAGCAGCGGGGGCGGCGATTTTCAATTTGAACAGCATCTCGGCGCAGCTGCTTGCCGCAGGACTACGTTGCGGTAGAAGCGGCAGCGAGGTCAGGCCAGGGGAGCACGGGGCACCAGCCCAGGACCATACAAACACAGACCCTAGCAACAACGACAACGAGCCAAAGTGACCGTCAGGGCAGCCGGCGTAGCCAGGGCAGCACCTAAGCACCCCAGGCTACGCTGGCACCCACCCACTTGCCAAAGAGTCCCCAGGCGGGACCCAAAGTGCCTTGAACACGGAGTGGGGGGGGGCACCCACCCTTCACCTGTGCCGGCTCACCTGGGTCCAGCCGCGTTGTTGATTGGGTGTCCAGGGATGGTTTATGTTATTTGTTGTGTGCCAAAGTTTTAGCGAAATAACCATCACAGCCACGTTAGGGTGCTGGAGGCCCCGTGGTGGCTGCGTCGGGGGGAAACGCCGAGCCGGTACCGCTGACAATCCTGGGTTTGAGTCCGGGTTTCAGCCGGTGATTCGACCGGAATTCTCAAGTGCAGTGGGCGAGTTTTGACTGTCTTCAGCCCGGTCACCAAAGACTACGCGAAAAACCTTTCTCGCGTTAATAGCCCAGCCGCTTGAGAGGTTTGAAAACGTAAGTTTTTTTTTGGACATTTTTCTTTTGGCAAGGTCTGTGCAAGTGAAAAAGAATGTGGCCCCATCGTGGGCGGATAAAGAGACACCAAAAGAAGCGGCTCCTTCGGAAGAAGTTCCGCGACGTCCTCTTCCGGCGCCGGGCGTCGTCGTCCGCCGCTCGCTGTGATGAGGTGGGGGCGGGGGCGGTGGGGACCTTGTGGAACGCGCCCTCGATCTGAACGTCTCGGTTGGGTCACCGTCGTGACGTTTGCCGAGGGGAGTTGCCGGGTCGGCTCCAGGTTACGTGGACGCTTCCCCCGCGCGCCCCCACGCCTCTGCCCCCGCACCTGGCCGATTTCGATTTATTTGGACCCCTCTTCCCACTTTGGCAAGCGGCGATTACGCTCGTCTATCCGGGGGGGGGGGGGGGGGGAGAGGGGTGGGGGGAGCCTCACCTTATTTTGTGTTTCGTTTTTTTAGGAGGGGGTTCCGGCGCAAGCTTTCACTGTCACGGGGTTGGGGGTTTGGTGGGTGGGGGGGGCGATGATGATGCTTGCTGTGCTTCAGCGTTGGTAATGTTTGGCCAGAGACCTGTTTAGGCGCTTGCAAAGGTAGATGCCGGTGTGCCGTGGTGTTTGTGCACGGCAGTTGCTTGGCGGTTTCTTTCTGTGTTGATCGGCACCCCCTGATTCATCATCGAAGCGCCCCTTGCCTTGGACGTCTCGCGTTTGTTTAACAAAGCCCCGAGTCTGCCGATGAGATGCGCAAGGTCGACATCAGCCCGGAGTTTGCTCGCTTAGGCAAACGCTCGCACGGATTGCACTTACGGGATTGGCCTGGGGAGGCGCCGGGGCCCCAGTCGACCTATAAACGCAGCGTTCGTTTTGTTTGTGGAGACGGAACGGAGTGCTCCGTGGCAAAGCGTTGTGTCGCTGGTTTGGGAGTTGCACTTTGGTGATGTACTTGTCGTCGGCGTTCTTTTGCCTGCGCTGGACGTAAACTAATAAAGGATTTTGGAAAAATCCACACTTTCAGCTCCTGCTTGCTCGCTCGCTCGCTCACCAGGGGTCGGTCGCCTCCTTGTCACGCTTCTGTAGCTACTCACATGGTCACTGTTGCTGTGAACTTATCTTCATTGCTTCCTCCACCCGTGTTGAGGACTTGAGTCGACCGGATGCTGTTGTCTCCTTTCACACTGTGCTCAACCACCACCAACCACACTACAGGGCACACAACAACAAAATCACCCACTCAACCACTCGCCTTTCAACCCACCTCACCACACTGCAGGTCACAACACCGCACTTACCCAGCCACTTGCTCGCCTATCTACCCACCAACTCGCCCACCCATTCACCGCACTGCAGGTCACAGCACCACACTTACCCACTCACTCGCCCACCCATTCACCACACTGCGGCTCACAGCACCACACTCACTCATGTTGCACACTCGAAATTAAGGACGTGGGCAGGTGCTCCAAATCGAGGGCAAACATTTATTGTGGTAAATCTGCAAAATGGAACAGCACGTGTCACGCAGCAATCCTGAACCGAGTCGCCATTAACCACGTGACTGGTGTACAAGTCGGTTAAGTTTCTCAAACCCAATTCTACTACTGATAAACCATCTTTGTCTTTGACAGTAACCTTTACACTGCACTATTCGAATATTACATTAATCCTAAGCTGTATGTCTATCTATGCCATCCAATTGTATCGGTATCTTACACCCATTATCTGTACTGTGTGTGTACAATATACGTACTGTATTTGTCAACATTGTACAACTTACTACTTACGCGTTCTATTCTCAATAGCATTTGCGAGTAGTCTTACTCTGGGTGTATGGGCATGGTTATAGAATTACAAGTATTGACTACAGTACGTCATCTTTTACAGTGCACAGTGCTAAAACCTCTCCTATTGAATATATGACAAACTAACAATTCAAAGCCAAGCTTTAAGTCTAGAACAAGTCTAGAACATTTCTATAACGATCAAAAACAGCCTTTGGGTCCTTTTCCTGTAAAATGGAACAGCACGTGTGTCACAGCAATCCTCCACCGAGTCGCCATTAACCACGTGACTGGTGTACAGGTCTGGTTAATCAATAACCCTGCCAGCCCCCTACAGGCCCAACTCCGTTATTGCATGCTGGTGTACACACGTGCATTGATGGACTGCACAGCACAAGGACTTTCACAAAACCACACTTTACTCCCTTTCTGCACGAGGAAATAATTAAAATAGTGGTCCATTCCTAATGTGCCACACTCACCCACCCACACTGCGGCTCACAGCACCACACTTAACCACTCGCTCACCCACCCATTCATCACACTGAAGCTCACAGCACCACACTTACCCACTCACCCACCCATTCATCACACTGCGGGTCACAACACCACACTTACCCACTCAGCCATCTTTACACCCACACACTCATTACGTACTCGCTCGCCCACTCGCCACACTGCAGGTCACCTCGCTTCTCTTCCTGGTTCTTCTCTTGCACTGCTCTGCTCTGGAATTCCATACTCCCATCATCATCATCACCACCACCACCACCACCATCACCGTCTCTTCCCCTCCAAGCTCTTACAACAACAACGACGGTAACCCCACTCTGTTCAAGGAACGCGCCCACACTCTTTTGCACTACGACACTGACGGGCCGCTGTTTGGTTACCAGTGGTTGTCGTTGGACACACTGTGCTCGGCAACTCTGTTACAAAACAAAGAACACCAGCGTGTACGTTCGCAGAGAGAGCAGCGGTATTTGTGGAGCGTGCCCGGCTCTTGCTGATGAGTCCTAGGAGGGGCGAAACCGTTGCAGAGGTTGTGTGTTGAAAGCGAATGCTGCTGGGTTAACGTAAAAGCCTGTCGAGGCCATCACTTTTTTTCGCGTCCTCAAGGGGTTACAAAAAAATTGCCAGAAGGTTGGGTTTCGTGTGCAATCTTGTGCTGCCATGAGGCCCCATATGAACGCCGCCACCCTGCCTCTCATCCAGATCTCTCGGCAATTCCTCCCCCCCCCATACCCAATTATCTCCGATTTGTCCTTCCATCCTCTTCTCGTGTCGCGACCAGCTTCTAACCCCCCATCCCTTTTCCGTAACCCCCGGCGTTTCGATTCGCAAAGCCAAAGGCGATGATTCCGTACGGAGACCTGCGTTGGGAACATCGCACGGCGGATGTTGGGGGCCAAGTTGCTCCTGAGCACCGACGGATGCTTTAGGGCGGCCCCGGGGCCGAGAACGTCGCCGACAACGTCGAGCCGCGACTTGTGCACAAAAAAACCCACAAACAACAGTCTGGAACGCAATCCCTCTGCACATTCGTAGCATCACCTCAATCGCCTCCTTCAGGAGACACTTATGAAACTCACCTCTATAACCACGCTTTCGAGTGACTCTGAGCTTGGCTCCGCGCCTCTGAGTTGCGGCCGTTACGTCCGCAAATTTGAGCGCGTTTTAAATTGCATTATTATCATCACCGTCGCCGCTTAAACGTCCATGGGTCTGCGAATCTCCCACGTGACTCTGTGGCGGCGTCTATTCGAGTCCGTGGGTCTCTCGTGCGAGTCTAATGAAGTTTCCCCTCCGTGAGTCGACGCCTCGCACCGTGTCGTAAACTCCCAGCGCCAATTACTTCATTCGCAGGCCTGCATTGCGGAATAGGAGCATAAACCGTCGCGCAAACTCCGGTCATCTTCGCAGCGGCTTTCGGCTAGCGGCCGTCTGGAACGCTCTTCCGATATTAGGAAGCAACTGGAGCTTGGCACTTTTAAATCGCATTTCTTTTGAACTGATTTTTTGTGTTTAGTTTGTTGTCCCTCCCCCGCACCTCTGATTCGCACGGTTGGCTACGAACGGTGCGAAGGAAGTCCACCGTACATATTCACCACGAGGCTACTCCTCAAGACGTCCACTGGCTAGCTCGCCAGAGCGCGCAAATGTTGCCCATCAACCCTCCGTACTACGCGGCTCCAGCGATCTCCCGCGTAAAATAACCCGGGCACCCGGCTAAAACGGGTCCGTGTAACGAATGAAATAAACTCGAAGCAGCTCGATGGATCGCCGCTCAATCGGTCGACGTGGCGGCCTGTGGCAAGAGACCCCCGCGGACCCCTCACCGCGCAGGCTGCCCATCGCTGCAACCCGCCTCCGTGCGTCGCCCGCCTCCCCGTGTTTACCGAGTGGCGCCGCGTGTTTACTGCATAGTCGCCGCAGCCCACGCCTGCTATCGCGCCTCCACATCTGCCCTCTTCCCCCCCTGCTTTTTGGACGTCAGCCCCAACGGCCGACCCGGGGTCAAACACATGGCACCGGACGGCGGAGTGATCGGGGGGGGGGGGGGGGGAATAAGCGGGCGGGGTGTGGCGGTCACCGCCACATCCCGCTCGCAGCATCGTTTCCACTCCTCTCTCCCGTCGTCTCGCTACGCCCGGCGCTCGCCACGATGCTGCCGCCGCCCCGTCGTCCTCGGCCGTCGTCGCCGTCACCGCTGCTGCTGCTCTGCTGCTGCTGCTGCTGCTTGTTCTTCTTCGGCCGCGGCGGGATGGGGGCGCCGACGGCACCGCAGGCGCAGGAGGAGCTGGGGAGCCGCTTGCCCGTGACGGACGCGCAGGTGCGGCTGGCCGCCGAGACGGCCGTGGGGAGCTTCAACGGCGCGTCCGGAGGGCACCTCTACCGGCTGGCGCGAGTCAAGATGGCCTGGCGCAAGGTGCGGCGAGGCTTTTTTGCCGAGCGGGGAGTGTGCGTCCGGGCAACGCGAGTGCCGCCGACGGCGCGGTCGCACCTCCGGTTAGCGCGGTCGGCTACGTACGGTACTAAAGAAGTTCAACGCACACGTACAACGTAACTAACCGGCGGTACCAATTTGGTGATTTGTCTTTTTTTAAGGTGCAATTTACCCATTCATCTTAATTTATAGTAGCTATGCACGATGGACAACAGTAGAAACATGTAGAGTGTATTGTTTGGGGAAAAATGGAAGGAACAGGAAAGAGAGGAAGACCTAAAAGAGGACGGCTTGACGACACGCCACCATAAGAGATTGGTGCCAGAAAGATGTGGCCACTATTTGAGCAGATTGGCACAAGAAAAGAGGAAAGTGTAAACAAATGACGAAATGTGCAGTGGACACCTAGGGGCTGCCTGCCCATGGATCTTGATTATCATGACGATGGCGATATTGGAATTTGTATCAACTTATTGCTCAACATAGCCTGGAATCGTCCGTAATTGACACGTTTTTTTGGGCCACGTAAGTAATATGTTGTGTCGTGCAGCCTCCTCCACCCGACACGGCCGATTTAATGAAGTTGTCGAATGACGAACAAACGTGACCGATTTCGTTACGGCGTCGGCAGCAGCAGCAGCAGCGATAGTCGCGGCAGTGACGCTGGAAAAAGAGGGAGCAGGATGGGAGGAAACCTGACGGCGGGATTCCCAATCTTCCCAGGCGCGTCTTCTCGTATCACTCTACGCAAACGCGGTGCCTGCGCGTGTGCTTGTCCATTTGCCCGCGTATGTCCAACCCTGTCTCACTGTGTGTGTGTGTCACTGTGTGCCCGCGTATGTGCATCCCTGTCTCACTGTGTGTGTGTCACTGTGTGTGGGGAGCGGTGGTGTAGCGGTTAGCGCGCTGCGCTACAAACCTGGCGACCCGGGTTCGATTCCCGCTCACGGCCAACACCAGTGACGATTATCTGAACCGGTCCCGGGCCTCCCCTAGGTCGACTCAGCCTCAAATGAGTACCTGGTGCGGTGTGTAAAACATCGCTACTAGGGAGACAAAGGCGGTCGGGCGTGGTGCTGGCCACCCACCCCCTCGTGTACCGTTCCGGCATTCATAGGTGCTCGCTAACAGCACTTGCCCCTACAGTCTGTTAAGGCTATACGGGGGATCTTTTATCTTTGTCACTGTGTGTGTGGGGAGCGGTCGCGTAGTAGCGGTTGGCGCGCTGCGCTCGGAACCCCCTGAAGGCCCGAGTTCGATTCCCGCTCGTGGCCAACACCGGTGATGATTATCCGAACCGGTCGTGGGCTTCTACCTATGTCAACTCAGCCTCAAATGAGTACCTGGTGCGGTGTGTAGTAAATATCGCCACCGGGGAGACAAAGGCGGCCGGGCGTGGTGCCGGCCACCCCACCCCCTCGCGTGCCGTGCCGGCCTCATAGGTGCTGCTCGCTAACAGCACTTGCCCTTACAGTCTGTTACAGGCTACACGTCGGGGGGGGGGAGGGGTATGGTTGTCTTCGCACTACGTGTGTCTGCATGTGTGTGTGTGTCTGTATGGGTGCGTGTGTGTCTGTGTGTCTGCGTGTGTGTGCGTGTGTCTGTATGTGTGCGTGTGTCTGCGTGTGTGTGCGTGTGTCTGTATGTGTGCGTGTGTCTGTGTGTGTGTGTCTGCGTTTGTGTGCGTGTGTGTCTGCATGTGTGTGTGTGTCTGCGTTTGTGTGCATGTGTGTCTGCGTGTGCGCGTGTCTGCGTGTGCGCGTGTCTGCGTGTGCGCGTGTCTGCGTGTGTGTGCGTGTGTGTCTGTATGTGTGCGTGTGTCTGCGTTTGTGTGTGCGTGTGTCTGCGTGTGTGTCTGCGTGTGCCGGCGTGTGTGTCTGCGTGTGTCTGCGTGTGTGTCTGCGTGTGCCGGCGTGCGCGTCCGCGTCTCCCTACCAGGACCTCCCTGGGGAACTGAAGCGCTACCACCTGATGTTCGACATCAAGGAGACGGAGTGCGAGCAGAAGGGCGGCTCCAGGCTGTCCGAGTGTCTCTTCAAGTCCGACAACACTGCAGTGAGCGCTGGCACCAGCATTGCCACAACAACAACACAAAAAACACACAAAAAAAATCACCGTTGCTGAGCACGGTGCCCAAAGGCTTCAGAATGTCATGCAGCCAGCCACAAGCAGCACTGTAAAAGCTGGAATATATAGTGAGAGTGTAACACGTTCCTCGTATTGGGGCAAGGTTGTTGTTGTTGTTGTTGTAAAAGCGTTTGGATAAACGCGATGACGACGACGACGACAATGATGATGATGGTGATGGGAGGAGGAGGAGGGATTTCCAGAGTGGAGCAGTACGAGGGGAGAAGCAGAGAGAGAGAAGTGAGGTGACCTGTGGTGCAGTGAGTGCGTGGGTGGGGTGAGCGAGTCAGTGGGTGAGTAAGTGGGTGAGTGCATGATTGACTGATTGAGTTAGTGTGTTGTTGTGACCTGCAGTATCCAGAATAAACACCGCCTCTTTCGAGACCCAAACATCGCACACCTCCTGGCTGTGATATTCCTCCCGCTCGGTGACCCTGGTGGTGGAACCATCGACGACCGCGTCAGGACACCAACAGCAGGCCGAAGCGCAACTTCCCCCTTCGTGAATGGGAAATTCGAGACGCGCTGCCGGTAGCGGCAGCGCGTCTGTGACCGTGGAACCCAAACTATGGCCCAATGAAAGAAAAAAGCAAAACGACACGAACTCTCTCTCTCTCTCTCTCTGCTGTGAAGCCCTCTCGTCGTGGCCAGCAGCAGACCTCGACGGTGGCATCCGGCTCCCGGATTGCCGCCGTGCGCTAGAACAGAAACGGGAACCTGCAGTGTGGCGGTGGCGGTGGTTGTGGGAAAGCGATCGCGCATGGGGTTTAGCGCTACGCCGCGCTACGAACCCGGCGGCCCGAGTTCCATTCCCGCTCACGGGCCAACGCCGGTGACGATTTTCTGCGCCGGTCCCGGGCCTCCCCGAGGCCGACTCGGCCTCAAATGAGTACCTGGTGCGGTGTGGAAACGTCGACACAGAGGGAGGCAAAGGCGGCCGGGCGTGGTGCTGGCCAACCCACCGTCTCGTGTGCCGTGGCGGCCTTTAGAGGTGCTACTCGCTCACAGCATTTGCCCCAACAGTTCTTTCAGGCTATGGGGGGAGGGGGGGGGGTGAATGAAACAAAACGGTCGGTTTGGAGTCCTCGACACGGGTAAGAGGAATCGGCATGAGGGTAGCTGCACCCTGGCGATACTCCAGTAGGTCGTATGATGTGAGGTGCACTGTCATCAAGAGGTGGAAGAGAGGCTCGGGAGGTCGCAGCACGGGAGCCGGCGCCCGGTCGCTGACGAGACCCCATAGGACTCGCATAGAAAACCCACAGACTCGCGTGGAAAACCCACAGACTGGCGTGGAAAACCCACAGACTCGCGTGGAAAACCCACAGACTCGTGGGGAAAACCCACAGACTCGCGTGGAAAACCCACAGACTCGCGTGGAAAACCCACAGACTCGCGTAGAAAACCCACAGACTCGCGTGGAAAACCCACAGACTCGTGGGGAAAACCCACAGACTCGCGTGGAAAACCCACAGACTCGCGTGGAAAACCCACAGACTCGCATAGAAAACCTACAGACTCGCGTGGAAAACCCACACGCTCGCGTGGAAAACCCACAGACTGGCGTGGAAAACCCACAGACTGGCGTGGAAAACCCACAGACTCGCGTGGAAAACCCACAGACTCGCGTGGAAAACCCATAGACTCGCGTGGAAAACCCACAGACTCGCGTGGAAAACCCACAGACTCGCGTAGAAAACCCACAGACTCGCGTGGAAAACCCACAGACTCGTGGGGAAAACCCACAGACTCGCGTGGAAAACCCACAGACTCGCGTGGAAAACCCACAGACTCGCATAGAAAACCTACAGACTCGCGTGGAAAACCCACACGCTCGCGTGGAAAACCCACAGACTGGCGTGGAAAACCCACAGACTGGCGTGGAAAACCCACAGACTCGTGGGGAAAACCCACAGACTCGCGTGGAAAACCCACAGACTCGCGTGGAAAACCCACAGACTCGCGTAGAAAACCCACAGACTCGCGTGGAAAACCCACAGACTCGTGGGGAAAACCCACAGACTCGCGTGGAAAACCCACAGACTCGCGTGGAAAACCCACAGACTCGCATAGAAAACCTACAGACTCGCGTGGAAAACCCACACGCTCGCGTGGAAAACCCACAGACTGGCGTGGAAAACCCACAGACTGGCGTGGAAAACCCACAGACTCGCGTGGAAAACCCACAGACTCGCGTGGAAAACCCATAGACTCGCGTGGAAAACCCACAGACTCGTGGGGAAAACCCACACGCTCGTGTAGAAAACCCACAGACTCGCGTGGAAAACCCACAGACTCGCGTGGAAAACCCACAGACTCGCGTAGAAAACCCACAGACTCGTGTAGAAAACCCACAGACTCGCGTGGAAAACCCACAGACTCGCGGGGAAAACCCACAGACTCGTGTGGAAAACCCACAGACTCACATAGAAAACCCACAGACTCGCGGGGAAAACCCACAGACTCGCGTAGAAAACCCACAGACTCACATAGAAAACCCACAGACTCGCGTAGAAAACCCACAGACTCGCGTAGAAAACCCACAGACTCGCGTGGAAAACCCACAGACTCGTGTAGAAAACCCACAGACTCGCGTGGAAAACCCACAGACTCGCGTGGAAAACCCACAGACTCGCGTAGAAAACCCACAGACTCGCGTGGAAAACCCACAGACTCGCGTGGAAAACCCACAGACTCGTGTAGAAAACCCACAGACTCGCGTGGAAAACCCACAGACTCGCGTGGAAAACCCACAGACTCGCGTAGAAAACCCACAGACTCGCGTGGAAAACCCACAGACTCGCGTGGAAAACCCACAGACTCGCGTGGAAAACCCACAGACTCGTGGGGAAAACCCACAGACTCGCGTGGAAAACCCACAGACTCGCGTAGAAAACCCACAGACTCGCGTGGAAAACCCACAGACTCGCGCGGAAAACCCACAGACTCGCGTGGAAAACCCACAGACTCGCGTAGAAAACCCACAGACTCGCGTGGAAAACCCACAGACTCACGTGGGAAACCCACAGACTCGCGTGGAAAACCCACAGACTCGCGTAGAAAACCCACAGACTCGCGTGGAAAACCCACAGACTCGCGTGGAAAACCCACAGGCTCGCGTGGAAAACCCACAGGCTTGCGTGGAAAACCCACAGACTCGGGGACGACTAAATTGGGGGACCGCCACATACACATTTGGTTGTGCACTTAATTTGGTTAAATTCCATTGAGGTGCTGCTTGCTACTGGGTGGACCAGAGATCACATCGACCCCCTGTACTCACGTCTCTATACCCCGCTGTACCCATGTCCCCACGTCCCTCTATCCTCACATTCCATGTGTCGCCATGTTTCTATATCCATAAGTCCCCTTATTCCCATGTGTCATGTCCCTGCGTGTCCCCCCGTGTCCTCCCGTGTCCCCCCCGTGTCCCCCCGCGTCCCCCCGTGTCCCCGCCGTGTCCTTGCATGTCCCCCCGCGTCACCCCGCGTCACCCCCGTGTCCCCACGTGCCCCCCCCCCCCCCCCCGTGTCCCCACGCGCAGATGCTGGGTGTCTGTTACGGGGACGTTGACTTCCTTCCGGGCAAGGAGGCCACGGCTGTGGGACACCCCACGTGCCAGATGAAGAAACCAATCCTCGAAGGTAACTCGCTCGCTCCCTTACTCGCACGTCGTCGTCGTCGTCATCGTCGAAATCCATCGCGCGGCAGTACCGCAACCCAGCTGCGGAACTCCCGCAGGCTGCGTCTGCGCAACACGGTGCGTGCCTTCCTGTTGAATGTCGTGCTTCCAAGAACGGCACGGACACCACGCCATCCCGCGCGACGACGATTTGATTATCCCTCCGCCACCGTGTCAGTGACTCCCCATTGGACTCGGGCTGGCCATGGCACCTGCATCTGCACCAACTCAAACCCAGTTGCCAGCCAAGGCCTGGGTAATGATTTGCCGTGCGATGGCGGAAGGGGGGTGGGGGGGGGCGGCCGCCGTAACATCAAAGAGCCGAGCGCTCCGATAAGCGCATGGGGACATGACAACAAGAGAGAGAGAGAGGACCCCGCGGCCTCTGCACCGTGCCACACCGGCTGTTTGCGCAAGCCGAGGGCCACGGCATGCCACCCCACCCCCCGCCCCCCCGGGGGTGAAGGCCATGTCACGTTACACCGAGTTCCAAGCGCGCTGTATGTATGCATGTATGTACAACCTCTTTCGCACCGTGCCACTCACTCGCCCATCTTCCCACTTAAATCACCCAATTTATGTTCTGTTGCTGCTACCGTGGTAACCGTTAGCGTGAACTTCGCTCGCACGCCTACTCTCTCACTCGCCCAATCACTCACCCATCCATCCAGTCACTCACTAACCCACTCTCTCACCCGCCCAATCACTCACCCATCCATCCAGTCACTCACTAACCCGCTCTCTCACTCGCCCAATCACTCACCCATCCATCCAGTCACTCACTCACCCACCCAATCACTCACCCATCCATCCAGTAACTCACTAACCCACTCACTCACCCACCCAATCATTCACCCATCCATCCAGTCACTCACTAACCTACTCTCTCACCCACCCAATCACTCACCCATCCATCCAGTCACTCACTAACCCACTCACTCACCCACCCAATCACTCACCCATCCATCCAGTCACTGACTAGCCCACTCACTCACCCACCCAATCACTCACCCATCCATCCAGTCACTCACTAACCCACTCTCTCACTCGCCCAATCACTCACCCATCCATCCAGTCACTCACTAACCCACTCTCTCACTCACCAAATCACTCACCCATCCATCCAGTCACTCACTAACCCACTCACTCACCCACCCAATCACTCACCCATCCATCCAGTCACTCACTAACCCACTCTCTCACCCGCCCAATCACTCACCCATCCATCCAGTCACTCACTAACCCACTCACCCACCCAATCACTCACCCATCCATCCAGTCACTCACTAACCCACTCATTCACCCACCCAATCATTCACCCATCCATCCAGTCACTCACTAACCCACTCTCTCACTCGCTCAATCACTCACCCATCCATCCAGTCACTCACTAACCCACTCACTAACCCGCCCAATCACTCACCCATCCATCCAGTTACTCACTAACCCACTCACTCACCCACCCAATCACTCACCCATCCGTACAGTCACTCACTAACCCACTCTCTCACCCGCCCAATCACTCACCCATCCATCCAGTCACTCACTAACCCACTCACTCACCCACCCAATCACTCACCCATCCATCCAGTCACTCACTAACCCACTCATTCACTCACCCAATCACTCACCCATCCATCCAGTCACTCACTAACCCACTCTCTCACTCGCCCAATCACTCACCCATCCATCCAGTCACTCACTAACCCACTCTCTCACTCGCCCAGTCACTCACCCATCCATCCAGTCACTCACTAACCCACTCACCCACCCAATCACTCACCCATCCATCCAGTCACTCACTAGCCCACTCACTCACCCACCCAATCACTCACCCATCCATCCAGTCACTCACTAACCCACTCACTCACCCACCCAATCACTCACCCATCCATCCAGTCACTCACTAACCCACTCTCTCACTCGCCCAATCACTCACCCATCCATCCAGTCACTCACTAACCCACTCTCTCACTCAACAAATCACTCAACCATCCATCCAGTCACTCACTAACCCACTCACTCACCCACCCAATCACTCACCCATCCATCCAGTCACTCACTAACCCACTCTCTCACCCACCCAATCACTCACCCATCCATCCAGTCACTCACTAACCCACTCACTCACCCACCCAATCACTCACCCATCCATCCAGTCACTCACTAACCCACTCATTCACCCACCCAATCATTCACCCATCCATCCAGTCACTCACTAACCCACTCTCTCACTCGCCCAATCACTCACCCATCCATCCAGTCACTCACTAACCCACTCACTAACCCGCCCAATCACTCATCCATCCATCCAGTCACTCACTAACCCACTCACTCACCCACCCAATCACTCACCCATCCGTACAGTCACTCACTAACCCACTCTCTCACCCGCCCAATCACTCACCCATCCATCCAGTCACTCACTAACCCACTCACTCACCCACCCAATCACTCACCCATCCATCCAGTCACTCACTAACCCACTCATTCACCCACCCAATCACTCACCCATCCATCCAGTCACTCACTAACCCACTCTCTCACTCGCCCAATCACTCACCCATCCATCCAGTCACTCACTAACCCACTCACTAACCCGCCCAATCACTCACCCATCCATACAGTCACTCACTAACCCACTCACTCACACACCTAATCACTCACCCATCCATCCAGTCACTCACTAACCCACTCATTCACCCACCCAATCACTCACCCATCCATCCAATCACTCACTAACACACTCTCTCACTCGCCCAATCACTCACCCATCCATCCAGTCACTCACTAACCCACTCACTCACCCACCCAATCACTCACCCATCCATCCAGTCACTCACTAACCCACTCACTCAACCACCCAAGCACTCACCCATCCATACAGTCACTCACTAACCCACTCTCTCACTCACCCAATCACTCACCCATCCATCCAGTCAATCACTAACACACTCACTCACCCACCCAATCACTCACCCATCCATCCAGTCACTCACTAACCCACTCACTCACCCACCCAATCACTCACCCACCCAATCACTCACCCATCCATCCAGTCACTCACTAGCCCACTCACTCACCCACCCAATCACTCACCCATCCATCCAGTCACTCACTAAGCCACTCACTCACCCACCCAATCACTCACCCATTCATCCAGTCACTCACTAACCCACTCACCCACCCAATCACTCACCCATCCACCCAGTCACTTACCCACCCATTCACTCACTAATAACTTACCCACCCATCCACTCATCACCTACGGGGATATATGTATATGGTCAGATATGTATGTATGTAGAACTTCTTTCGTACCGTACGTAGCGGTGTGTAAACATTGCCACTGGAGAGACAAAGGCGGACGGGCACAGTGCTGTCCACCCACCCCCTCGTGTGCCGTGTCGGCCTTCACAGGTGCTCGCTAGCAGCACTTGCCCCAACAGTCTGTTCAGGCTATACGGGGGGGGATCTTCGTCTAAACATATCTGTATCACTTTGCCCGTCTCAACTTAGCAGTCTCACCGTACCAGTCTCACCGTGCTCGACTCCACCGCGCAGAGACGCTGGTCACCTGGGGATCCGGCTGCTCCGGATGTGCCGTGCCGGTTTCCAGGGAGGAGGCCCAGGTTGCGGTCGATGCGGCGCTCAGAGTCTTCAACTCGGCCAACGCGCAGCACAAGCAGTTCGCGCTGAAGAGCGTCGACAGGGCGACCAAGGAGGTGACATACAGCGCGGTGTCAAAACAAAACAAAAAAACTGTTTAAATAAAAACATTTCATCTCATCAGGTAAGGCCCCCACCGAGCGGAAAAGGTCTGTTTCTCAGAGGTGACCTGGCTATCACAAATGATGGCTCAACGAAGTGGCTTATCGTCAGGCGGAAATTTATAGCGGCCAAATACTCCTTAAGTAACGCACGTCGATTGTGGAGGGCAAAAGCCGGAGGAGCCGGAGAAAAATCCACGCGACCACGGGGAGAAAAGAGAGACGCAAACTCCAAATATACAGCAGGAGGCACCAGGGTCGGGATAGAATCCACGACCTCCTGTACACCAGGCGAGATAGTTAACATCTCCTAGCCACCGTGGCCCAAAGACCTGGAACACGGCTACCAAGTTGACGTTCGTGATCCATCCCCGAGTCCTGAGCCAGCCCTGCAACGGACTGAAAAGCATTGTTGTTGTTGTTGATGTTTCAGAGAGCCTATTTCAGTGTGTGATCGGTGCGCATTGGTGGTGGACTGGACGCACGCATGAGGGTGCGCAAGACCAAATGTTCTCACTTGCCGCTGGCCGCGTGGTGCCCAAAGCGTGCTGTGTCACGGGTGGCGATGCCGCCGCCGCCGCCGCTGCTGTCGTTCTGCCGCTCGCCTGCTGTCCCCCCCCCCCCCAGGTGGTGGTGGGGCTGAGGTTCCACGTGGAGTTCTCGGTGCAGGAGACGTCGTGCTCCAGCAACGGCAGCTCCGGCCAGCGGGGGCGCTGTTCCCTAGAGGCCCTGGGCGTGGCCGTGAGTCTCCCCCGCCCCGCTCACCTGCAATATTCACACACACGCACACACGGCCTGCACTCCCCACACTATGGCCACACTACCCACTCTGGCCACACCCACAACAGTCCAGCCACACTCCCCGCACTACGGCCACACTCCCCACGCTTCCCACACTCCCCACACTCCACCACACTCCCCGCACTACGGCCACACTCCCCACGCTTCCCACACTCCGGCCACACTCCCCACACTACGGCCACACCCCACAACACTCTGGCCACACTCCCCACACTACGGCCACACTCCCCGCACTCTCCACACTACGGCCACACTCCCCGCACTACGGCCACACCCCCCGCACTACGGCCACACTCCCCACACAACGGCCACACTCCCCGCACTATGGCCACACTCCCCACGCTACGGCCACACTCCCCGCACTACGGCCACACTCCCCACGCTACGGCCACACTCCCCGCACTACAGCCACACTCCCCGCACTACGGCCACACTCCCCGCACTACGGCCACACTCCCCGCACTACGGCCACACTCCCCACGCTACGGCCACACTCCCTGCACTACAGCCACACTCCCCGCACTACGGCCACACTCCCCACACTACGGCCACACTCCCCACTCCCCACACTACGGCCACACTCCCCGCACTACGGCCACACTCCCCACACTACGGCCACACTCCCCACTCCCCACACTACGGCCACACTCCCCACACTACGGCCACACTCCCCGCACTACGGCCACACTCCCCGCACTACGGCCACACTCCCCGCACTACGGCCACACTCCCCACACTACGGCCACACTCCCCCCACTCCGGCCACACTCCTCGCACTACGGCCACACTCCCCACACTCCGGCCACACTCCCCGCACTGAGCGGTCACGAGGCGATGACCCGATTCGGGGGACCGATGCTCTAACCGTCCTCTCCCGTCCTCTCCCGTCCGCACCGTCGCGAGCGCAGACGCTGGGGAAGTGCAGAGCGGAGGTCGCGTTTGGGGTCGGGGAGTCGGAGGGGCGAGTGAGGGGCTTCCCCGCGTGCCAGCTCACCTCGCCCGTCCACGAGAGCGGTAACCCCTCCACACGGCGACGTGCTCGCCGCTCCGCACGGGGTGTTAGCGGTTACGCCGATGAAATGAAGAAGAGCTTTTTACCCTTTCCGGCAGAAAAAAATAAAGGTGTTCGCATGTTCAAACGCCCGATGGATAAACTTTTTGCAAGGCATCAGGCCTGCATTGGCCACACGTACTTTGCGCAAAATAAAACATGCAAACTAAACGTGCTCCGATAACTTGAGGCATCGTCTTTGAGGCCCATTGGCCTGCACCAGAGACGACAGTCTTAAGTCGAGACGGGCAAAGTGAGACAGGGATTCCCAGCCTCTCGGAGGTCCGAGAGGCACAATGGTCCCATGGCCGTGCGTAGACCAGCGGTGGTTGGCGGAGCTAGGGAACCGGTGGATGAGGTGGGCAGTCAGCGTTGCATTGGGGCGAAGGTGGAGTTGGAGGGATGGAGTGAGGGTCAGGTCAGGTTGGGGCTTGGTGAAGGTTCCAGGTGGGGTTGAGCGAGTTTCAGTTCGTGCAGTGGAATGGAGACCACCCCCACCCAGGTGGGTAAGTGACTGGGTTGGTGGGTGAGTGAGTAGGTGAGTGGGTTAGTGAGTAACTGGGTGGACGGGTGAGTAGGTGAGTGGGTTAGTGACTGGATGGAGGGGTGAGTGGGCGAGTGAGTAGGTGAGTGGGTTAGTGAGTGACTGGATGGACGGGTGAGTGAGGAGGTGAGTGGGTTAGTGACTGGATGGACGGGTGGGTGAGGAGGTGAGTGGGTTAGTGAGTGACTGGGTTGGACGGGTGAGTGAGTAGGTGAGTGGGTTAGTGAGTGACTGGGTGGATGGCTGAGTGAGTAGGTGAGTGGGTTAGTGACTGGGTGGAAGGGTGGGTGGGTGAGTGAGTAGGTGAGTGGGTTAGTGAGTGACTGGATGGACGGGTGTGTGGGTGAGTGAGTAGGTGAGTGGGTTAGTGAGTGACTGGGTGGACGGTTGAGTGGGTGAGTAGGTGAGTGGGTTAGTGAGTGACTGGATGGGCGGGTGAGTGGGTGAGTAGGCGAGTAGGTTAGTGAGTGACTGGATGGACGGGTGAGTGGGTGAGTAGGTGAGTGGGTTAGTGAGTGACTGGATGGGCGGGTGGGTGGGTGAGTGAGTAGGTGAGTGGGTTAGTGAGTGACTGGGTGGACGGGTGAGTGGGTGAGTAGGTGAGTGGGTTAGTGAGTGACTGGATGGGCGGGTGAGTGGGTGAGCAAGTAGGTGAGTGGGTTAGTGAGTGACTGGGTGGACGGGTGAGTGGGTGAGTAGGTGAGTGGGTTAGTGAGTGACTGGATGGGCGGGTGAGTGGGTGAGCGAGTAGGTGAGTGGGTTAGTGAGTGACTGGGTGGGCGGGAGAGTGGGCGTGCGTGCGAGTGGAGTTCACGCGAACGGTTACTACGGGAGCAGCGACCAGAATATAAGTTGGGCAATTCGGTCGGGCAGATGGACGAGCGGGTGGCACACGGTTTGCCTACGTACGGTGCGAAATAAATTCACCATGCGTACACAGTAGGACGATGGGCGAGCGAGTGAAGTTCACGCGGACAGCAAGCATCACAGCGGCCGTAGCGGAGTGACGCGGAGGCGACCGGCTGACGAGCACGTCTCACCGCACCCCTCCCACGTGTTCCACTCGTTGCGCAGTGCCCGCGGCGAGCGCCCCGTGCACGGGCTGCCCCGTGCCGATCCACCACGACGACCCGGCCGCGTGGCTCGTCATCCGCACCGCGCTGCCCGTCCTCAACGCCACCGCCGCCAACGCCAGCCTCCCTCCGCTGGCGCCCGCGGTCGTCCTGTCAGCCGAGCGGCATGTACGGCACGCCCGCAACCAAAGGGCACAATTGGGTGGGGGCGGGGGGGGTGGACCAGGTGGAGTATGGTGCTACGATTCAGGGATGAGATCCGGATAAAAACACGTTTGGGATGCCGGGATCTTCAAAGACGATTTGACATCGTTTTTCTGAATTTTTTGAACCGTTTGCACAAGGCGGCTGACGAGATTTTTTGGGGTTACAGTGAGGGAAAAAATTATTTGATCCCCTGCTGATTTTGTACGTTTGCCCACTGACAAAGAAATGATCAGTCTATAATTTTAATGGTAGGTTTATTTGAACAGTGAGAGACAAAATAACAACAAAATCAAGAAAAACGCATGTCAAAAATGTTATAAATTGATTTGCATTTTAATGAGGGAAATAAGTATTTGACCCCTCTGCAAAACATGACTTAGTACTTGGTAGCAAAACCTTTGTTGGCAATCACAGAGGTCAGACGTTTCTTGTAGTTGGCCATCAGGTTTTCACACATCTCAGGAGGGATTTTGTCCCACTCCTCTTTGCAGATCTTTTCCAAGTCATTAAGGTTTCGAGACTGACGTTTGGCAACTCGAACCTTCAGCTCCCTCCACAGATTTTCTATGGGATTAAGGTCTGGAGACTGGCTAGGCCACTCCAGGACCTTAATGTGCTTCTTCTTGAGCCACTCCTTTGCTGCCTTGGCCATGTGTTTTGGGTCATTGTCATGCTGGAATACCCATCCACGACCCATTTTCAATGCCCTGGCTGAGGGAAGGAGGTTCTCACCCAAGATTTGACGGGACATGGCCCCGTCCATCGTCCCTTTGATGCGGTGAAGTTGTCCTGTCCCCTTAGCAGAAAAACACTCCCAAAGCATAATGTTTCCACCTCCATGTTTTATGGTGGGGATGGTGTTCTTGGGATCATAGGCAGCATTCCTCCTCCTCCAAACACGGCGAGTTGAGTTGATGCCGAAGAGCTCCATTTTGGTCTCATCTGACCACAACACTTTCACCCAGTTGTCCTCTGAATCATTCAGATGTTTATTGGCAAACTTCAGACGGGCATGTATATGTGCTTTCTTGAGCAGGGGGACCTTGCGGGCGCTGCAGGATTTCAGTCCTTCACGGCGTAGTGTGTTACCAATTGTTTTCTTGGTGACTATGGTCCCAGCTGCCTTGAGATCATTGACAAGATCCTCCCGTGTAGTTCTGGGCTGATTCCTCACCGTTCTCATGATCATTGTAACTCCACGAGGTGAGATCTTGCATAGAGCCCCAGGCCGATTGACAGTTCTTTTGTGTTTATTACATTTGCGAATAATCGTACCAACTGTTGGCACCTTCTCACCAAGCTGCTTGGCAATGGTCTTGTAGCCCATTCCAGCCTTGTGTAGGTCTACAATCTTGTCCCTGACATCCTTGGAGAGCTCTTTGGTCTTGGTCATGGTGGAGAGTTTGCAATCTGATTGATTGCTTCTGTGGACAGGTGCCTTTTATACAGGTAACAAGCTGAGATTAGGAGCACTCCCTTTAAGAGTGTGCTCCTAATCTCAGCTCATTACCTGTATAAAAGACACCTGGGAGCCAGAAATTTTTCTGATTGAGAGAGGGTCAAATACTTATTTCACTCATTAAAATGCAAATCAATTTATAACATTTTTGACATGCGTTTTTCTGGATTTTGTTGTTATTCTGTCTCTCACTGTTCAAATAAACCTACCATTAAAATTATAGACTAATCATTTCTTTGTCAGTGGGCAAACGTACAAAATCAGCAAGGGATCAAATACTTTTTTCCCTCACTGTAGGTGTCGTGATGACTCAACCAAAAATTGCGTGCTATGAAGAAGGCCCATTGCCCGAAACGTCACCCCCCCCCACCCGCACGGTGTAGTTATTTGTGCTTGCGCGCCACTGGCAAGGCAGCGGCGACGTCAATTTGCCAAATTTACGTCGTGAAACCCTCCACTCGCGTCATTTTTTGCAACAAATTATACTGTCGCGTGTACGAGCGTTTATGTTGTGCCAATTGTCATTGTTTCAGTTGTTGTTAGTTGTTATTTGTACAAGTGCCACACCTGTACGCGTGACTATTCAAAGGTGTTCTTTGGTTCTTTCGGTAAAGTCACGTAGAATGAGAATAAAATAATAAAATAACACAATGAAGCTCTGTCGTCCCGACAGGTCTGTACCTTTCACCTGAAGACGGCCGCTTGCGTTGTGGCCGAAACGTCGTGAGAATTTTATTGTGTTATTTTATTATTTTATTCTCATTCTACGTGACTTTACCGTAAGAACCAAAGAAGATGAATCATTGCAGTCACGAAAGCTTTAAATCGATATTCAAAGGTGATCGGGAGCGGTGGCGGCCACCCACCCACCCCCTCTTGTGCCATGGCGGCCTTCATAGGCGGTGCTGCGCGCTAACAGCGCTTGCCCCCAACAGCCTGTGAAGGCCACACGGTTGGAGAGGAGGATCTTTGTTGCGTGCGTGCGCGTCTAGACGGCCGTGGGAGACGTGACGCACGTGAGGTTCACGGTGCTGCAGGGGAGGTGCGAGACGCCGCAGGACAGCGTGAAGCCCACGTGCGAGTTCAGCACGGGAGAACACCTGGTGAGGAGGCCTCTCTGGCTGGGACTTTAAAAAAAAAAAAATTGTAATATTCGTTTTATTTTTGCAGCGTTCCCTCGTGCCGGAGATGCTCGTGAAGAGCAAGTTTCGCGGATAATGATCGTCCGACGAAAACAAACCTCTCTTATTACGTGAATTACCTAAACTAAATACGGAAATAAGATATTAAATACGTGAACATTATCAAAGCACGCGCATGTGTTCCAGACTTCCGGAATCTGCACGGTGCAACAGAAGCGCAACGCTCAGCATCGGCTGTCTCAGATCGCCATCGCCTGCAACGTATCAAGAGACAACGAGACGCAGCTCATCAGCAGATCGGTACGAGCGCAGCCAGTGTTCACACCGTCGTTCAGCGTAGCCGTTGGGGGCTTTAGGACAACCCTAATTTCATACGCATCGGCGCCATTCTTATAGCGCGCTCGGGAACAAAGTTTGACCACGACACAGTGCGCGTGCGAGTCTCTGGGTTTCCATGCAGTTCTCTGGGTCTCGTCGTAAGTCTATGGGTCTCTGTGCGAGTCGATGGGTCTCTATATGAGCGACAACTCAGAATAAAATCAGTGTTTTTGGCTGCAATAAATGTACACGTGATAATACGCCACTTCATTGAGCTATCGTGTTGTGATAGCCAGGTTGCTCCTGAAAAAGAGTTACATAGCTCAGTGGGCCATTGCCTGGTAAAATAAAAAGGTTAATTTAAGTCACTGGTGACCTGGTTGAGCCCATCATCAACTCACTGCGCTTAATAACCCCGGTTCAGTCGTGGACGGCGGGCAAAAACCCGGATTTGATCCCAGGCTCTCGGCAGTGTGGGCTCAGCGCCGTGACTCCCCGAGCCACCCTGAATCTTCGTGATGACCCCCCCCCCCCCCCTTTAACCTGACCTTTCACCTGCGATCCTTGAGGAGGCAGGGGGAGGGTTGGGGGGGATGGCGGCTGTAGCAGGGCGTGACCGTGAGACGCCGCCACCGCCGTACGTACGTAGAACTTAAATTTCGATTTAAAGCTTTCGTGACTGCAAGGATTCATCTTCTTTGGTTCTTTCGGTAAAGTCACGTAGAATGAGAATAAAATAATAAATTGATAAAATAAAATAACACAATAATATTCTCACGACGTTTCGGCCACAACACAAGCGGCCTTCATCAGGTGAAGGGGACGAGACTGTCTGGAGGACAGCGCTGGAGCGCTGTCTGTCTGGAGCGCTGTCTGTCTGGAGCGCTGTCCTCCAGACAGTCTCGTCCCCTTCACCTGATGAAGGCCGCTTGTGTTGTGGCCGAAACGTCGTGAGAATATTGTTATTTTATTTTATCAATTTATTTAATTCTCATTCTACGTAGAACTTCTTTCGCACCGTGCGTAGCCTACCGCGCTAACCGGTGGCGCTGTCGGCAGGAGGCGGTCTCCACCACCAGCACCGAGGGTGCCTCCACGGGCGGCTCCGGCTCAAGCCCCGGTGGTGGGGACGCCGTGGCGGCCGACCGGAACGGCAAAATCACCGAGCACCTGGGGCTGGACGTGACGGACATTTCGCACGTGCTGTCTCCCGCGCCCTCTGACCCCACGCTCACGGACTTCGACCTCCTGGACGCTCTGGGATAAGAGCGGCGGGGGCAGCCGAGGAGTTACGAGAAAAACGAGCGGCGGTCACCCCCCTAATGCACCCCCCCACGCACCTCCCCCCCCCCCCCATACACCTCCTGCCCCCACGCACCCCCCCCTACGCACCTCCCCCCCACACACATCCCCCCCCACGCACCTCCTGCCCCCACGCACCCCCCCCACGCACCTCCCCCGCCCCCCCACGCACCTCCCCGCCCCCACGCACCTCCCCCCCCCCCACGCACCTCCCCCCCCCCACGCCCCTCCCCCCATGCACCTCCCCCCCCCCATGCACCTCCCCCCCCACGCACCTCCTCCCCCCCACGCACCCCCCCCTCCCCCCCTCACACACCTCCCCCCATGCCCCTCCCCCGAACTGCAATCCCCGCCGACCGTACCGACTCCAGGGGTAAGCCGCCCACGGTTGAAATCTTTTCCCGGCAGCTGACCCGCTTGAAGTGGGTGCGGTGGCCAGATGATGCAGCCGTCATCACGCCCCGGCCGAAGATGGTAATAAAATAAAAAACGATATCAAAATAACATTTAAAAAAAAACAAATGGAATTTCTGAACGTACATCACCGTCTGAAATAAAAGCGGCTCGTGGAAAAAAACATTCTGCAAAATGGTCGTTTATTACGAATTGCGATACCGACGTGTAGGCGATCATAAAACTAAACATGGCTGCCAGGCGCGAGTCGGAAGCTTCCGGCGCGAGTCGGAAGCTTCCGGCGCGAGGCGAAGCTTCCGGCGCAAGTCAGGTGCGTCGCGAGAGCCCTCCGCCCAAAGTGACTTCAAACTGGCGTCGGACGAGCCTGGAGCACAAGGCCCAGGGGTACACGGCAACAAATCAAGAGCCTCTCCCTATTGGTTGGTCTGCTGCACCCTCCTCGTCCTCCGGCTCCCGCTCCTTTACAACCGACGCGCACGACGGCCGTGCGAGACGAGCCAGCACCGCAGCGCGACCGGAGGTACTCGTCCGGAGACCCCCCCCCCAAACGGTTTATAGAGCGGATGCATACGCACGCACGCACGCACGTACGTACGCACGCACGCACGCGTTGCGCTACAACGCCGTCAGGACGCACGGACGCGGCGAGGGAGAGTTGCCGCATTGTGGTCGGTCTGTCGGCGGACTCCCCGGAGCGAGCGAGATCGGTCGAGCTGACCTCTCCGCCCCCCCCCACCCCCCGCCCCCCACCGTGCTGTGTCCGACGGCGGCTCCCCTTCGCCCCGCCCCGCCCCGCCATCGTCCTCACACGAAGTCGAAGAGGTACCGCACCACGTCGAAGTTTACCGTCCTGGAAAGGGGGAATAATTTGACAAACGTGCGCGCCATCAAGACATCTCCCTCAAACTCATCATCATTATTATTATTAATACCGTTATGATTCCACTTGCTTATCCCCGCAGAGCCGCAGCGAGTCTCGAGACTTTTTTTTCAGGGAGGTCCTGCCAAGCTTCCACAGTCGGGGGGGGGGGGGGGGTGACGCTGCTGCCGTGTGAAATCCCAATCGAATAATTTGCAGGTACATGGGGTTTAGCATTGCGATGTTTTGGCCCAATACCAGTTCACAACGATGTGCGCCTTTCTTTTTTTAGCTACGGGAGGGATCCGGGACAACCCGGAGGAAACCCACGCAAAACAGGGGGAGAAGACAAACACTCCACGGAGAGAGGCGCCCGAGTCCGGGATCAAACCCAGGTCTCCTTCCTGCTGTGGGCTGCAAGTGATGCCGCTGCGCCACCCTGCCGTTCAAGTAACGACGACCAACGGCTCATCGATGAATGCTACGCGAGCGTCAAAATCGAGCGGGCCCAACGAAGCGCGGGGGGGGGAACGGCTGCGCACGTGAGCGAGCGTAAGCGAGAGAGTGAGCGAGAGAGTGAGCGTGAGAGAGTGAGCGTGAGCGTGAGCGAGAGAGTAAGCGAGAGCGAGCGAGCGAGCTGCATCCGTCGTGGTCGCCGGCGGGCCCTGTACCTGGCAATGGCGCGGATGAAGTCGAGCGACGCGGTGCACTTGTACTTGGGGCTGTCGATCTGGTCGCTGTGACTCACGAGCGTCAGCAGCTGCAGGCTCACCAGCGACGAGATCTGCGGGAGGAGGGACCGGGCGCGCCCGGATGGAAAAAAAATATGTACTCTCGCGGAGAACGAGCCGCCCGCGGAACAGGACGCCGCAGAACTACTCCCGGGAACCCTTCAAGCGGCGCGCTCTCACTCGCACGAGCCCTCCCGCGGGAGGCGACGGTCCATCGCGAGAAGTTGTTTGTACGCCGATTTGTGCCATCGGTGTCGCGCCACGGGGTGAGGGATCCATTCGGAGCGTAGAGCAACTGCCCCCTTTGTCCTGCCCACCTCGCCCACTTCACGACAACGGATGAGGACAGAGCGACAGCCAAAGGAGACGAGACGCCCGTGGGTTACGTCGCGCCACAGAGATGGAACGATTAACTCGGCCCGTACGCGGGAGCTAAACGGGATCACTGCGTCTCGAGACCCCGAGAAATGGATGTACAGGGTGCTAGCAAAAAAAATGCGAACACTTCTGAGAATTTGCAACAATGCCACGTGAAATGTGCTGCTGCCTCCGGGCTCTTGAGACCACCTGGAGAAGATTCTAGGCCACGCATTGACAATGATGGCGAACAAGTGGGAGACTCTGTTTGAAGCTATTAACATTGCATTTGTTATCATGTTATCCGTTCTTTTTCCATTAAAAACGATGGCCCCATAAGCACTCCGTATATGTGTGTATGTGGGGAGTGGTGCAGCAGCGATTAGCGCGCTGCGCTACGAACCTGGCAACCCAAGTTCGATTCTCACGGCCAACACCAGTGACAATTATCTGAACCGGTCCTGGGCCTCCTCCCCTAGGTCGACTGAGCCTCAAATGAGTACCTGGTGTGGTGTGTAAACATCGCCACTGGGGAGACAAAGGCGGTCGGGCGTGGTGCTGTCCAACCAACCCCCCGTGTACCGTGTCGGCCTTCATAGGTGCTCGCTAACAGCGCTTGCCCTAACAGTGTGTTAAAGGTATATGGGGGATTCATATTCTTTCGGTAAAGTCACGTAGAACAAAAACATGTACAAACACTACGACGTTTTGATCGCAACCCAAGCAATCGTCATCAGGAGGAGAAAAGATGACGATTGCTTGTGTTGCGATCGAAACTTCGTAGTTTTTGTTAATTTTGTTTGCTAATTTTGTTTTGTTCTACGTGACTTTACCGAAAGACCCAAGGAATATGAATTCCTGCAGTCACGAAAGCTGTAAGTCAAGATTTACATGGGGGATCTTTGCTAATCAGAGGTATGGGGGGGGGGGGGGGGGCGACCACTTTGGGATACCTTCATCCGGCAGGTGATGACGATGAAAACGACGATGATTTCTGAGGAATCCCCCCCCCCCCCACCCACCTCCGCCATCCTCCACCGACTAAATGGAAGGCTCCCCGATTGGACTGGACTGCCAGCCGTGCCGTACGCTCCCCCCGGTACGGAATTGCAGGGCCGCCGTACCTGGGAGAAGATGCTGGCGGTGGGCGCCACGCGTCCGTCCACGATGCTGTAGAAGATTGCCATCATGCGGTCCAGCGGGAAGGTCTTGGGCCCAATGAGGTGGTTGCTGGTCTGGGAGGTAGGAAGGAGGACATGGTTGGTGGTGGGGCGGTCAGCGGTTGGGGCGGCGATAGTCCACGTCGCATTTGTTTTGCGAGTTTCAAAACTAGTTTTCAGGGGGGTCCTGCCAAGTTATTCGCAGTGAGAGGCGGGGGGGGGGGTGGGAGGGGTGACGTTGCCCCTACGTGCAGCATTGGGATGTGTTGGCTAATGCCAGTTAACGTTGCACATTCTATTTTGGCTTCGGCTAGCGCTGCCCCGCGCGGGATACACGTCCTGGGTGGGGGGGAGGCGTGACGTAGGTGTGATGTAGGTGTGACGAAGGTGTGATGTAGACGTGACGTAGGCGTGACGTCGTGCAAGCGACATGCCACCGTGGCGATGGGAGAGCTTTTCGGGAGATGCGTACGGCGCCAGTCCGACGATTCGGCACCTCAGCCAAAATAAGCGCGCGACCAAACTGAACGTGCTCGCGGGTTCTTTTTCATTTTGCGCAGCAGTCGCTTGGGCGAGCGAGCCGTGGAGATCATGGACTCGCCGCTATAAACCCTGAAAACCCGGTTCAATGACGGGCAGCTGAAACCCGGTATTTCGAACCCAGGTGCCGGCTCATCGTCTCCCCGACCCTTGAACTTCCCGGGCCTCAACGTGTGATGTGCGGAGGGGGCGAGGAGGGGACGGGACGGCACGAAGAGCCCTCACCTTCTCACGCCTCACGAACGTCTTCTTCTTCTTCTTCTTCTCGGAGAACTGAAACGCAACAGCAGCAGCAGCAACGACATCGTAAACGTAGTCAACATCGTCAACATCGTCAACGTGATCAAGTGGTTAAAGTGCCGCACTAAGAACCCGAACCCAGCGATCCGAGTTTGATATCAAAACTGCGAATGTCCACGCCTACCCTCCACCGCTTCGCCAACCTTCACGGTAAATTCACGGTAAATTCTCGTGGCAGGGCGATCGCACAGCATCGGCTTGATGAAGGAAGGACAGCTGTGAGGTGCGGTCGTGGATACCAGGTCTCCTGTGACGCATCCACACCCCGCGGTGGCTAGATGTTAACTACCTCGCCTCGTATGCGGGAAGTCGTGGGTTCGATCACCACCCCGACGCCTGTATATTTGGAGTTTGCGTGTCTCCCTTCCTGTACTCGCGAGGATTTTTCTCCGGGTCTTCCGGCTTTTCCCTCCACATTTAGAATCGACGTGCGTTTAGAGTATTTGGCTGCTATACATTTCCACGATGATAAGCCACTTCATTGAACGATAATTTGCGATAGCCAGGTCGCTTTTGAAAAAGGGCTACATAGCCCAGTGGGCCCTACCTGCTATTTACCATTTCCATTTTACCAGGAAAGGCCCACTGAGCTACATGGCTCTTTATCAGAAGCGACCTGGCCACAAATGATAGCTCAACGAAGTGGCTTATCACGTGAGAATTTATAGCAGCCAAA